GCAGGTGAAAAGAGCTGGCAGTAAAAACAGACATGTAGTCCTTGAAGTATAAATCTCCCCCTAACAGTACCAGCTCATAAAAGTCTGACAGAGGAAAATATGGCTTTGATTTCTGAGAGTGATGAAATCAATACGGTATCTGCCATGCTTTGTGTTTGGTGTAAACACCTGTGTTTCCTCTGTGGTTTGTTTTTACCCCATGCTACCGGTGTTCCCGTGGTGTTTAACACTCTTTTATAATCAGATCGCCTCCAGGGTCACACATCTGTCCACGCCTTCCTCTCAGAGCAAAGGAATGTGTGTCCATTTGCGAGTGCATGCAAAATATCTCGTCGCACGTGTAGGTTTATTTACACTGAGTGTGCATTACAATGTTTTACTGCACATTTCAATTACGAAGCATCTTTTTTGGGGACATTATCATGCCCTTAAAATGGAAGTGGAGTGAACTAAACTTGAATGATTTGCCCATTTATATACAGCCTGGACAAGGTGGGATCGATGCTCTGTTTCTCTGCCTTGCTGTTCTTTATAAAAAGGTACAAACACAGAGTAGACAGGCATTGTTGCACCGACACTGAGCTTTCAGCGGAGGTAGTCACAGTGCTGAACCGACGTCTGTGTAAAAGGGACAGCCGGCATGGCGGGATGACATGCACACACACTTCGCAGACGCTGTTGTGTCACATGTCACACCTTTTTGCATTATTTAGTACGCTTATGTAATGATGGATCGTCTTTACAGCAGCATTGCAGGATCGCTGTTTAAAAAGGGCTTTTTTGTTGAAAGCTGAGAGGGGGCTGAATTACCAACATCATCTCGGTTCACATTATTATTAAGAAGAAACAATCATGACCTAATATTTATCAAAGACACACAGCAAGTTTTCATCATGACTTTTCCCTCAAACTATAAAAAAGCTGTATCTTTCAAACGATGCATGCTGCTAATGTGCTGATCACATTTCTTTAGTAACTTAATTTAGTGAACTCTCAGCAGCACATTCACTCAACTCATTCATCATTTAAAGCGGAGGTTCTTAAAGTTTTGTTGACTGAGTGCCAATTTACACAGCCCGCATATGATTAAGGGCCACACAGAAACAGTGCACACACAAAACAAAAATCTTTTCCATCTCTCTTTCATATTGAACTGCCTAGCTCTTCCCCAAATATTGTTAAATTTGACTAACAGCACCAGCATTAATGAGAACGCAAGTCCTTCAATACTCATGAGGTGCCACTAGCTGCCATGCAACCAGTAGCTTCCTACAAGTTGTCATTCCCAACCTGACAGATGCTTATTAGGGAGTGCAGTTTGACACAGCAGCTGAGAGGTGTATTAAATGTAAGTAACTGAAAGTGAAAGTATTGAAATGGGCAGATTATTAAAATCTAATGCATGCACGTCACCTCAAATTTAGCAGCTGCACAAATAGTTTCTGCGGCACACCACTGGCCAGCTGGCTGCACTTTGAGAAACTTTTTATTTAAAGTGAAAACACTCAGGTTCATGGAGGCAGAGCACATTTAAGTCCCGCCCCCACCGGAGAGGAAAACAATTAATCACTCGCCTTTGACTTTGTATTGTGTGAATGTGCCTTCTGGTCATTTACATCTGCAAGCAAACAACACAAAAATGCCCTAAAGCTGCTTTGTGATGGGATGTGCTCCCAACAGAAAGAATCCATGACTAAAATTTTAATAGCTGCTGAACTGAAAAACTGGGCTTTTAAGCAGTGAGACGTGAGGCATTAACAAGAAGATCCTGGTACTCAGTAGGTATGCAGCAAGCATTCTGCTAAGTTGGGCCAGATAAACTGCAGAGCAGTGGTTCTTAAATGGTGGGATGGTGCCAGTCCAAGTGTGCCACGGGATTTTGTGATAACCACACATTATTATGGCAATATTTCACTGGGCCTACACAAAAAATTATGAATGAATTTTTAATTGACTGCATCAGTATGTTGTGTGCACCCATTTCCTCATAAAGAGGCAAACTCTGGCTCAAATATGTAACTTAAATTTAAAGGTTCACAGGGAACCTATTTGTGCTGTTCGCATGTGGGAATCGTAAGTGTGTGACACATCAAAAGCCCTGATTGGCAGCCAGTGTGAGGGATGATAACATTTAAAGGGACAAAGCCATGAGAGGAAAAATGGATTGCTTTATTGTACGGAGCAAATTACAACAAAGCACCAGCGAAGATGACCTACCATTGAAAGAAAGGAGTTAAAAAATGTCAGTAGACAGTATCATGAAAGCTACCTGTCTTATTTTTTTGTCTTATGTTGTGATAAGAGTGATCAAACATGCTATAGAAGATGTCCGGTATAAATACAGATGTGCCTTGAGATTTTGGCTTGCCCTTTGGTGTGTCTTGTGCATAGAAAGTTTGAAAAGCACTGCCGTAGGTAACTAAGCTATGTAATGCCTGGTTTTGATCTTTCGTGGCTTAAATGATATTATCTGGTGATTTAATCAAACAGATGTAAATATCAAAGTATGTCACTTCTGGCCATTAAGTGGGATCATTTCCTCCGAGATAAGCATTGTAAGAAGAAGGGACAGTGAGACAGACCAGCAACACTGAGTTTGTCAATATACCTTTTCCTTTCTGGTGTATATAAAGCCTAGTTTACATTACACGATTTTCACCAACGTCGCAGAGGATCTTGAGAGCCACCTTGGGTCGGAGGTGAGTCGGCAGATAGTCTGCCACGAGTCCTCATGTGTGAATAAGCCTATGAGCAAGTCGCCCCCTCGTCTGTGACTGGGACTGGATATTTGGCAAGTCTGACACGACTGACAAAGAGCATCAGCCAATGAGAGGCGGGATACGTCCCATGTCAGTACGCAGGAGGACGGAAGAAATGTGAGGAGGACAAGCCGCAGGGCTGCCACTTGCCAGGTCCGCTTATTAGCCGCAACTTTGGGCTTGTTTCTAAAGTGGAGTTGCTTATTTGGGCTTGCTCTCTAAACGTCACCTTTCTCTCTATATATTCTATAGTCTAATAAATTATTGATAGTCGCTTCTTTTGGGCTTGTTTCCATAGCCCTGGTTGCTTGTTTTTCTCCCAAGATCTGATTCAACACTGGGAAGAATATCCATGCCTTTACCACGTGTTGTCTCCAAGTTTGGTGACGTCACCGCGTTATCTGGGGCTCTGTCGGCGAGGGCTCGATGGAGAAATCTTTGTGGGGTGCACACACAGGTCGTAACGCAGTTGGCGAGACTCCCGTTGATAGCAACACATGTCGTAGTATGAACACTCAAAAGATTGCAGTAGTCTCCGCGACGCAAAATCAGGGTGAAAATCGTGTGATGTGAACTAGGCTTAAGGTGCTCAAATAATCCCTTGACTTGCTGAAATCTAATGTTTTTCACTAGCTACAGGTATTTTGTTAGCGTTTTAGCCCTTTGTTGAACATTGTGGCACTGACAGTTTTCCCCCCCAGGAGCGTGGTTTTCAGAGTGTGACACGTTGCGCTCTGTCTCTATGAGTTCTAAAGTGGTCTAAAAATGAAAATGAGAATTTTAAGTTGAATTAACGTAACATAAGTGAATCGTATAAATGTAGATCATTCATAATCATAAAGATTAGTTGGTTCCACTTAATTCCTATATGATGTTTTATAGTGCACCAGGTTGACTACTTGACCTCTAGCAGTGTTGAGGACAGGTAAGCAGCTCTGTGCGACTTGCTTCACTCCTTCAGTTTGCTCCTCAAGATAAATGCGGTGCTCGAGAGAGGCAGGATATTAGAATGCCTAGAAACATTGGCCACCTGGCACGTCAATAGTAAACCTCAAATCAATGTTTGATGGAGCCTGCATTTAAATGAGAAAATCTAATCTATGGTTTGAGAATAATTAAATTGGTTTCCATAGCATGTGCCAGCTCAAAACAGAACCCAAGGTTATCTGCACCTAAATAGGCTGAAAGGGCAAGTCTGCCACTCAAAGCCGAGTAAAATGGAAAGCTCTGTAAAACGCGGAGAGCTTATTGGACAAATGGGGCTTCGGTGGACACTTGAAAGTACAGTTTCATCTTGAAAGGTCTTGGAATCACATTTGTCAGATAAGTCTGTCTGAATGGTTGGCAGCAAAGTCTATTGTAGTTGGATATGGGACGCTGATCCTTTTTCCTCTCCCCTTTGTTGCAGATTAAGACAAAGTACAGCCGTCTGGCCGGGCAGACAGGAGCCACCTATAGCCTCAAAATGCAGGATGAGTCATTTGGAACATTCCGGAAAGGATTTCAACACCTCCACCTCCCCCTCCTCCTCCTCCTCCCACCACCTCAGCCCCTTGCTTTTAATTACACACTATCCTATTCCTGTCTTAGGGCGTGAATTCCACAAGTATTTTCAAGCTGCTTGGATGCACGTCAGCTGACTAACAAAGTGGGACGCTTTAACGCTTTTCAACATGTCCAATCTGTCAGTGATGAAAATGCACAAAAACTCCACACACACGCACACATACACACACTTTCAATAGCATTGGTTCCACTCAGCCGAGCCAAAGTTATCTCAGGTCAGTAATTGAGATGTTATCTTCACAGGGGAGGATGCACCCCTCCCCGGATCATTCAACATGGCCTCACCACTCATTTCCATTTGAGCTGAATCAGCTCTCTCTCTCTGCACCTCCTCCCTTGTGATTAAAGCATCTCTGCTGTCGGCTGGTGGCAAACCAGCTTCCACCCCGTGAAAAAGTGGCAACTCTAATATGCTGGAGTTGTGTGCTGAAGATCTGGCCACAATAAACAATGATTATTCTGCCGTTGCTCAGGGCAGGGGTTCTCCTTCACTTCGGATTCATGTGGAAAATGTGCACGTCAGCAGGCCTGTGTGTCGCTGGAGGGGAGGGATCATATATTTGACTCTCGCTCTTCAACTTCTGTGCCCCAACAACAAATTAAAAAAAAGTTACACACAGCTGCAAAGTTACTCCTGTGTTGTGTTGTGTCTACAAGTTCCAGGCGAGAGCTTACCTTGATTGCAGGTCTTGCCGGTGAAACCAGGGTGGCACTTGCATTTATTGGGTCCCACGCAGTCTCCGTGCTTACAGCCAGGCTGGCACACAGCTGTTCAGGGGGGATTCAAAGAGGAAGAGACAGATCAGTGCAGCGCCCTGGCAGACTACTTGTTCCAGATCAGGATGACAAAGCACTTAATCCTACTGCTCCTTGACTTGGCTCTAAATTATCTGTTTACTCCACATTTACAGCAATAAGACAGCATGAAGCCTCATTTATGTGTGTGTGAAATGTGTTTGTTTCTTTCTCCACGTGTGACAGTGTTATTATCATTGACGAATGGTAATAGTGCAGCCATTTCCAGCTAACCACATCATTTTGGAGCTGGAAAAGTTTTATTGTCCTCACAGATACTAAATCTTTTCACACTGTGAGAGATAAATGAGAAGTTTGACCTTTTAACACCGCGCAAAGTTTTGATTTTCCCCTGCTTATAAAATACAGAGCAGTTATTTACGCTGGCAAACAGCCAACGAGGATTACCTAGGCGAATAATATTTCCCCCTTAGACTGAAGCTGAAACAATTAGAGCACCAAAATAGTAGATTATAATTAGTGCCTCAGTAAAGAGCTGCCCTGCAGATCGTACACAGAGCGTGGATGGTGATATTTTGAGCGTGCACAGAGACGTGGTAGTTGCGGGAGCTGCACAGCTCCACTGACTCTGTGTTCTGTCTCAGTGAGCTGTAGGTTTACCCTGCTTATCTGACTGTGCTTACTGCAGCTTGCTGCTAAGCATGTCTGATACACGGGGCCTCAGCCAAGTGTTACTAATTTTCATTAAAAGCTTCATTAATTCTGTCATAATACGGTGCAATCAGAGGACTTAATTATCACTGTGGTGGAAGAGGCAGTACATACGTGTGTGTGTGTGTGTGTGTGTGTCTAAGTGTGTGTGTTTGTGTGTGTAAAACCTCTGGAGTGGAGTGCTTATCACACCAGCCAGTTTGTTGTGGATCTGGAAAGGTGTAATGTGTAGTTTTATTTGTGACAATACAGCTTAAAGATTTATTATATAGTTGTGTCAGCGACGCCACACATATTACACCCAAACATCCTTCTTGGTACATAACATCCACCAAAGAGATGTAGCTTTTGGTTTCTGAGCTATTTGTTTTTTCATGTTTGTCTTATAACTATTAAGGCCCAGACGCACCAAACTGACATCAAAGAACTAGTGGCGAAGAAGGCTGACTGTTGCGTCGTCTCATGTTGCCTGTGTCCCAGCCAGAAAGTTGCTCATGAACACAACGTAAAGACTACAACCAATCGTCGACTAGCACGTACATTCTGCATCTGTGTGAGAAGAAATAGCTCTCCATACCAGCAGGCGGTGATAGTGTTTGTCATTCAGAGAGGGAAACCGGAAGTCGGACAGGATGGATTTGAGTCACTAATTAGTTACCACAGTGTTTTAGCAGCTGGAGGCGCCATTTTGAAACTGTTTTTAATGAGATTGAAGTTTTCTGCAATCTAGGCGCCTGGTGTTTTTGCTGGGGAACTGCCCATTGGTTCGACAACCCATTGGTTCGACATCCCATTGTTCCGACCATATTAAACTCATTGTTCCGAAGTCCCTTCCAAAATCATCATGACGCCCTGTGGTAAAGGTCTGGTTAGGTTTAGGCACAAAAACCACTTGGTTAGGGTCAGGAAAAGATCATGGTGTGGGTTAAAATGAAAAAGAAAGTGACAAACACATAAGCCGTGAGCCTGCTCCGCCTCAAGCCGGTCGCGGCGGGCATATGGTGCGCCGCGAGCCGTTCAGCACTGCGGACAGTCGAACTAATGGGATGTTGAACCAATGGGCTGTCGAACCAATGACATGGACCCTTTTTGCTGCCAGCTCTGAACTTCTTGAGTTTAAAAAATAAGTTCAACTCAGAGCGGAAAAGCACCCAACGTCATCTCTTTTTTCATCATCTTTTCCCATTGTCCAATCGGAAGATTTGAGAGGCAGGCCTTCTGTGATGTCACCACAACAAGTTCACAGTTGGTTAAAAATGGAGGAGGAACGGCCATTATCGAGGGGAAGCTCCTGGACCAACTGGTGGTAAACCCCTTGATCCATCCTCTTTTTTGGAGTCTCATATACCCACACGGATCTCCATTTCCCTGTGCCTACCTCACGGTGTTTGTTTTTTTTTCAGTGGTGGCTTTCAATTTTTTTTAAAAAGGCAGTGCCGTGCACTTCACATTTTGCAACCTGCAAAATGTCTGAAAAATTTCTGTGTGATTGGGGCCTAACAACACCAGCAGGTTTTGAGAGAACAAAAGATATTTACAACTACAAACTGTGTCTGCTAAAGAGCACAACTGGGTAGAAAAAATAATTCTGTCATAATGCTTTCCTCACTTCTGTTTCTCTTCTCGTGAGCTGAGCTCAGCTGCCAATCAGAGTCATTTCACACACGGATAGGCTCCACTGTCTCTGACATGGACTCAATATGCTGAATTGGCCGAAAAAGAGGGCCAGTAAGAGCTAACAGTGCGGGACTTCTACCCTTTCTAGAGTGACAGATGCTCACCGATGGCCTATCACTGACCAATGGCCAACCAACTACTTCACAGATTTCCAGAAAGTCCATTTTGGCCAATAAATATGTGCTTCTTGAGGTCTATCAGAGGCTAAAAAAAACTGCACAGTTGTTATAATGCCATGAGACAATTGCTGGAAATCAATCTTTTGTCTTTAACTTAGGTTAACCTTTGTTGCTATATGACCCTTCGTTTATTTGCCAGAGCCTCCAGCATCAGGACACCCACTCTGCCAATGCAGTCTTCTCATTGAAATAAAAAGGGGGTCAATGTCAGTTTGAACAGGACCTTAGCTTGTGGTGTGTGTGTGTGTGTAGCATAACCACAAAGCATTATCATTCTGCTTGTGCATCTAAATTGTGAGGCGGAACCAGATTTTCTGTTTCTCGTTTCATCTTTTAGTAGAAGGAACATTTATTTGGGTCGAAAGAGATTTTTCCTGCGTTTTTATTTTTTTGCAGAACACTTGGAATCATTCCTACATTTCAATATGCTGCATGGTCTATTTTGCACAAACTGCCATGAACTCTTGACCACAATGTGCACTTGCAACTACATTTATATTATATACAGTATGCAAGTATCAAATCAAAGAAATCCTGCATAACTAATGGCATTGAGTATGTTTGCATTGAGCTGTGCAGCCTTGTGGAGATATTCACTCTAAAAGTATTTCCTTCCTTTAATGAATTTCTATAAATGGTAGAAATAAGGTGAACAACCTACTGAAGAAACGGGGGGTTGAATAATACACTGTATATGAAATGTGCACTTTCAGAGTTAAGTTACAATCTGAGAAATTTCCATTCATGCACGTTCAGCTTGCAAGGCAGGAAGGACATCTTAAACTCCTCAGGTTTCAGTCTGTAACATTGTTCAAACTGAATTCAAAAGACACGGAGGAATGTGATGAATCCTTTAACTGGAGTCGATAACATCTCCAGACTCATTCCACTTTATTTGGCTATGTAATCAAATAGAAAGAAGCTATTGTCAGCCCACTTGGGGAGGCCTGCGATATGAGCCGTGTGTTAACACACCAAGCAGTCAAAGTTCACAATTACAAATTAAAAATGGCCCAATTTGTTGGAGGAAAAAGGAAAAGAGTTGTACTTTTTTGGACTTCCTTAGACCTTGGTCTGGTCAGCGGATGCAATGAAAGAAGCTTGTGATGTTGTTAGTTAGAGAGAAGCCAAGTGGAGGGCTTTTTGTTATTCGCCTGCATGGGGGAGGATTTGATTAGCAGGATCAGAGGCGGCCATCAACAGGCTTTGCCTCTGAGGGTATTTTTAAGCCTCTGGCCTGGCAGAGAGATCACGAAATGGCCAGTGTTCATTAACCACAGCAGAGGACGTGGAGGGCTAAAAATGGTCGTACCAGCTGGAAGGCCAAACATAGCATGTATGACCCTCGTTCCATGAACACCATCAAAACATGCCGAGTGATGACACACTTTCACTCTGGTTTACATCAGCCATTCCTCAGAACAGCACGCTGCTGCCACTGATGCAGATTCTTTTGATTTATTGGCTGCTGATGGATGCCTGATGGTAAACACATATGGAGGTATTATTTTTTTAATTGACACTGATATTGCGTATGAATATTTATACCAGCTTGATGCATTGCTTCATCAAAGCAAGATGGGAAAATCATTACTAAATCAATTACAAGTTGCATCATCTTGCAATCAACCAAGTAATTACCTACGGCTGCTTGTAATGGTTATTTCATTATAGGGTTGATTTGCTGATTGTTTTGTTTTGTTATCAATCAGTAAGAGTTCTCACAGACCAAGATTATATATTACCAAGATTATATTATGTATTCCGTTAACAATGATGTAAAATACAGATAAGCAGAAGTTCCAGTGTGTAGGCTTTAGGGGGATATACTGATAGAAATGTAATATAATAAATATGTTTTCTTTAGTGTATAATCACTTGAAAATAAGAATCGTGTTTTTATTATCGTAGAATGAACTGTTTATATTTACATAGGGAGCAGGTCCTCATCCACAGAGTTCAACATCTTCTTACAGTAGCCCAGAATGGACAAACCAAACACTAGGCCTAGATGGGGCCACTCACATTTTCACGTTTGGCCACCATAGTTAGCAGCCTCTCTGAGACTAGCAGTGGGTGCGGTTACATGATGGCTTCTTTGTCAGAATTAAATAAATTTGATCATTCGGAATTAAAGTTGAATTAAATATTCATTCCCAATGAGGGTTTACACGGGAGATCATTTTAATTGCCTTTATTCGGGTCCGCACAAGGTTTGGGGCAGGGAAGGTTTCTGACTGTATAGGGGGAGGGACAGATGTTACATGTTTACTGGAAGAAAACACTGTAGTCCTCGCTCCGGATAACAAGACGCTTGACGACGCTGTTCTTAGTGCCTTTTTCGGACTTGTTTTGCTTATATTCTTGAAGCAGCAGTACGACAACAACCTTGTTCTGCTAATGCTTCATCTGTTGTGGAGGAGAAGGGAGATAGAAGACCGTGCT